TCCATACCCTATCAGTCATCTCCATCCTATCAGTCATCTCCATCCCCTCAGTCATCTCCATACCCTATCAGTCATCTCCATAGCCTATCAGTCATCTCCATAGCCTATCAGTCCTCTCCATCCCCTGAGTCATCTCCATACCCTATCAGTCATCTCCATCCCCTCAGTCATCTCCATACCCTATCAGTCATCTCCATCCCCTCAGTCATCTCCATACCATGTCACCTCCATACCCTATCAGTCATCTCCATACCATGTCATCTCCATACCCTATCAGTCATCTCCATCCCCTCAGTCATCTCCATCCCCTCAGTCATCTCCTTCCCCTCAGTCATCTCCATACCCTATCAATCATCTCCATACCCTATCAGTCATCTCCATCCCCTCAGTCATCTCCATACCCTATCAGTCATCTCCATCCCTTCAGTCATCTCCATACCCTATCAGTCATCTCCATCCCCTCAGTCATCTCCATCCCTTCAGTCATCTCCATACCCAATCATCTCCACACCCTATCAATCATCTCCATACCCTATCAGTCATCTCCATCCCTTCAGTCATCTCCATCCCCTCAGTCATCTCCATCCCTTCAGTCATCTCCATACCCTATCAGTCATCTCCATCCCCTCAGTCATCTCCATCCCCTCAGTCATCTCCATACCCAATCATCTCCACACCCTATCAGTCATCTCCATACCCTATCAGTCATCTCCATCCCTTCAGTCATCTCCATACCCTATCAGTCATCTCCATCCCCTCAGTCATCTCCATCCCCTCAGTCATCTCCTTCCCCTCAGTCATCTCCATACCCTATCAATCATCTCCATACCCTATCAGTCATCTCCATCCCCTCAGTCATCTCCATACCCTATCAGTCATCTCCATCCCTTCAGTCATCTCCATACCCTATCAGTCATCTCCATCCCCTCAATCATCTCCATCCCCTCAATCATCTCCATATCCTATCAGTCATCTCCACACCCTATCCGTAATCTCCATACCCTATCAGTCATCTCCATCCCCTCAGTCATCTCCATACCCTATCAGTCATCTCCACACCCTATCAGTGATCTCCATACCCTATCAGTCATCTCCATGCCATCAGTTATCTCCACCCCCTCAGTCATCTCCATTCCCCTCAGTCATCTCCATACCCTATCAGTCATCTCCATACCCTATCAGTCATCTCCATCCCCTCAGTCATCTCCATCCCCTCAGTCTTTTCCATACCCTATCAGTCATCTCCACACCCTATCAGTCATCTCCATTCCCTATCAGTCATCTCCATCCATTCCACGTTCTCTGACCTCCAAATAATAAACTGCAACACCATACATTTCAACATCAAACGAAGCAAAACCGGTGAATTGAAACATGGTCATTAGATTTTCATCTTCAATTTGCCAACCCCTATCCAACCGTACCAGTCCTCTTTACACTTTTTTCTCCACCAGAGGAAATCCCAAATCACCTCTTCTCTCGATCCTCTCTTCATCGATGGTGATAACCTCCCGGCCTCCAGACATTGGTTTCAAAGGAACCTCAAATCCATCCTCAACAGCTCCGGCATCCCAACCAAACAGTTTTCTTCACATTCCTTCTGAATCGGTGCCTTTCCAATCACCAAAATTAAAATGCTAGGCCGATGGTCGTCCCACGCCTTCGAAACATACGTTCATTAGATCATTGGCCATTGAGATAGGGTCAGTGATAATGTTATTGTTTACGTTTGGAAGGAGGACTTGTACTGGCTTTGAGAATTAAGTCTCTTCCAGAATTGTTTAGGGTTTTTGATGTCTGATAAAGAGTGTTTAAAGTAATTTGATTTTGCATTACTTGTTTAGTTTTACAGGCATTTCTTAATTTCTTACATTTAGACCAATCAGTCTGAATATAAGAAATTAAATTTCCTTTGTCATGCGGTATCTGACCCAGGCTTTATCTCGTAGTTTAAATAAATGTATTAAATCACCGTCAATCTGAGGTAGATGATGTCCAAGGTGTTTATCATGACTTTACTGTAAGAAGTCTTGAACATAAGGAATTATTTGAAATCTGGACCAGTTAATGCTTATTAAATCTTGGATGAAAGCCCCTGTGTTCAGTTTTTACACTGCTATATCGTTAACGTTATGACAATGAGTAGGTCCTGACACGTCTTTAAATGCCAATCAGTGCATCTTTTTCGTAATTTAAAATCGCTCTTTAGTCTTTAGTATATTAAAATCGCTAACATTTAGGACTTTATCTGCAGCGAATACATAGGTTATAATCTGAAATCATATCATTAACAATTAGTGCTTTTGAAAGGGATCAAATATTCAGGATATTTCAGGCTTGAAGTTTATCATTTGTTCATCCGTATTATATATGTTTTTTATTTGTTGAACATCAGTTACATTTTTATATTTAAATGGGTTTGGGAGTTTTTTGTATTTCCTAATTCGGGGAACAGACAGAGTCTCTATATGATGATATAGGTGAAAGAGCTTATCGTGGTTATGTGATGGGATTTATCTGACCTCATTAACAGCTGTCAGACGCTCGGTTTAGCGGCAGTATATCTGCGTCTGCGTTTGGCTGTGGAAACCATAGACAGTAAAAGAAGGTGGAAACCAAGAGTTGATATTTTATGGTATCTAGTCACAGCGATGCATCCGCTAGCGCTAGTGGCGCCCTCTTTCTTCAGCCACGCAGAAAGACATTTCAACTTATTTTTTTTATGTAGAAATAACCACATTTTTGTAAATTGTCCAAATGTTTCTTTCTCCTCTAACTATAGGCTGAAAGTTGAATGTTTTTCTAACTCAAAAAAGCAGGTTGAATCAACTTGCACTAGTTAATGTTATTTTAATTATCACTAATGTCTGTTGTAAAAATGTGAAAAAATGTTAATGTTATTTTAAAACCATTCATTAAATGAAAATGTTAAAAAATTGAAACCGAATAAATTAGCAATTTGCTGAATTTCTACAGTAATACTATGTTGATTTTCCAGATATAAAAAATTAAATACACATACTCAAATTTAAGGTTTATTGACATCTACAAAAGATGAAACTTGGTAATCATTTTGTGGTAAACATGGACCATGTAACATAAACTGCAGTGAATTATAAACAGCAGAGAGTATCAGTGTGTGTAAAGAAACTTTACATAAGAAAACATTGTTTTTAATTCAGACACAACCTATGTTTTTTGTTTTATGAGGGCAAAGTGTGTTTGTTGGGTGAAAGCTTTAGTGTGCTGGAGAATGAGTTGATCTGAGACATGACTGACGTGTTCTGGAAGTTTTAGTGCGTTAGCAGCGTTATGAATGTGGAATTAACTGCGGTGACGCTGAAAGTTGGATCGGAGAACTGAGGGAAGGGTTTTGAAAAGTGACCTAAATATTTAGAAATCTGTCCTAGCAATTGTATTTAAGAAAACTGTAATAAACTCTGAGATTTGAGTTAACTTAAACATTTGTTGAAAAAAATAAGATAAAAAATGTTAGAAAATGTTCCAGTGGGGTCCGAGCCCTAACGAACAGCACAGAAGAGAGAGAAGAAGAGCCTGAACACCTCTCGTCCGTACAGGGCTTGAGCCAACATGTTGCTATTATGGAGGAAAATCAGGATGGCTCTCATTGCAGTACACCAGATCCAGGGGGCAGAGTTGGATCCAGATCTAAGGGGCGGAGGTGGGTAGATTTTGATTTAGGTATCTGGATCCAAGTATCCTGTTGGATAGGCCTACTTTCAAAATCCAACAGTTTTCTGCTAGTCTCTCAAACTTACCTGCCTTTAAGGCCACCTTATTCTGTTCAATTCTTTATGTAACGGTTTGACACTTTTTATCACCCCTTAAAAAATGCTTGTTATTTTGCTACAGGCTTGGGTTAAAAAAAAAAAAAAAGAAAGAAAAGAAGAAAACATTTTATGTCGGTTTAGCCTATTTGCATTAGCCCATAGATTATAACACACTTTGGAACACTTTTTATTACTCCAAATCACATAATTTCGACTATGAATGGCATAAATTCGATTTAAGATGTCATAGGTATAATTTAACATGTCAAAAAAAATTTGTCTTAATGCCATAATTTCTGTTTGTCGGAATTTTGACTTATGAATTAAACGTGAAAATGGACAAAGAAGACACGCATAAAAACAAATCCATAATGGTGCAAGATATATAACGTTTAACAGTTTATCTGCTTTAGATAACTTAGCCTATGTTAGTATTGTGTCTGTGCTGCAATGACACCTAGTGGCGTAGATGCAACATCGACCAAAAGAAAACGTTTTCAGTGATTACAAAAATCCGATATAATTAAATTACTACGATTACATGATTTGAATAAATGATTATTTTACATTTTATATATATATATATATATATATATATATATATATATATAATGTAAAATAATATATACAATATATACATATTGTCCTAAACTAATTTTAGAATTGTTTTTGTTTTTCTACAAGATGTAAACAACACTGGTCCAGAAGCACTTCCTGTTTCAGTTTTTTTAACACTACATAAAAGCTGGGATAAAATACAACCAACAGAACATTTAAAACTGAATCAAAAAGTTAAACAAACATCTTTAAGATGTTTTCTTTACATGTGAAATAAAGAAAAGTTACAAACTGAAACAGGAAGTGTTTCTGGACCAGTGTTGTTTACAGATCTTGTGAAATGGTCTATTCACTTCTGCGCCACGTTGCTATGAAATGATTGGTCCATGAGGCCGCGTTTGTCATTTCAATGGGGGGAATACTATAGTCAATTTAAAACTGTTAGTCCATTATTTTTTATAATTACATTTATAACGTATTCTTTCGTAAAATAAATGAATTCGAAATATTCTTCAATCCTTTAAATGATGTTGGTCCGACGTAAAATCTACCGTACTAAGCGGAAACCTCCAGAGATCCCTCGCAGTAACTGGTACGGTCCATTGACCCGTGATGTCACGCCGCAGTTCTAGCTCTGGCCACGCCCTCGAACTGCCTCGTCATCACTGACTGTACGGAACTGAACCTGAACTCACTTCATTACAGAATATCATAGAGCCGCAAACTTGTCAGATAGATACACTATTACAGATTAATAGAGTTTATTTGTGGAAGTGAGTTTAAAATACATGTTTTGTTGATGAAATACATGTTTTGAAGAGCAGCAGGTGTATCGTTTATTTGGGTGAGTTTATCATCAATCAAATGCAACATGACCTGTACAGTTTTACTTATAGTCGTAATAATAAAATAGTAATAGTATTAATAATTTGTTAAATTGTATTATTTATATATTATAATTTTTTAATAGTTAAATATTATATGCTTAGAAATACGTTTTTCAGACAAATATTATCATCATTTTTTTAAATGAATGAGTTGCGGTGGCTATGAATCAAAAACAGCACTCAAGTGTCCAGCATACACGGAACTCCGTCAGTACTGTTAAAAAGCAGACTTTACTATTATTAAAACCTGTGGAAATATTAATAATAAGGAATGACTTGGTTTGTCCGGGCTCTTTGTATAAGATAGATGATTTTCAGGTATTACAGGTGTGCTGCATCACGTGGGCGTGTTGTGTTTTGTTCATACATACAGGTATCAAATACTTTAAGTGTACACTAGTGTCCGGATGCCTTTATAAATACTCGGAGCCGTTAGTCAAGTCACTTTTATTTATATTGGGATTTTTACAATTCAGAGTGTATCAAAGCAGCTTCACAGTGATACCGTGAAAATAATACAACACAGATCAATAATATAGAGCGGATAGTTTCTCATGTTTGTCTTTGTGTTTCTCAGGTATTCCCACATGATTGCTCCTGTCTGCTTTGACTGATCCCTGCTCTGCTGACCCATAATGAAAGCCCTGATTCTCGTTGGCGGCTACGGCACACGGTTACGCCCGCTCACACTCACTGTGCCGAAACCACTGGTGGAGTTCTGCAACAAACCCATCCTGCTCCATCAGGTGGAGGCGCTAGTCAAGGTATAGCCAACACACACGCTGATCAAGCCTTTTCTGGAGCATTACATTCATATGATGTTGATTGCTGTAGTGTTTGTGTTCAGGCTGGAGTCCGTCATGTCATTCTTGCTGTGAGCTACATGTCAGATCTATTGGAGCGAGAGATGAGAGCTCAGGAGCAAAGGGTATTTAATGAACATTCGTGTTTATGATAGCCAGTCATAGGTGGAGAATGCCAAAGTAACAATCTCATTTGTGATCTTGACAGCTTGGAATAAAAATCTCGCTTTCACATGAAAAGGAGCCTCTAGGCACTGGTAGGTGAACATGTTCTCATTGCTGTGACAGCACTATCCTCCGCCAGCATGATGCTGTAAATGTGTGTGTGTTCTTTCAGCTGGTCCTCTGGCTTTGGCCCGAGAGCTGCTGACCGACAGCGAGGAGCCGTTCTTCGTCCTCAACAGCGACGTCATCTGCGACTTCCCCTTCGAGGACATGCTGAAGTTCCACCAGCAGTGTGGCAGAGAGGGCACGATTGTGGTGAGGAATCCATTTCATTTGTGGCGATTGTTTTCTGCTAGTTTCAGCCCGACACAGTTTTCATTTTCACATCCTGCGCCACGTTGTTTAAATAGCAAACATCTGTGCCCATGGGCTGCTGGTCTGAGAACCAGGTGTGTGTTCAGGCGCATTGCTGGAGCGTTGCTATACTGAGCCATTGACCAATTGAACCCTGGGCTAAAGTCAATGGCGCAGTATTATTTTTTCTTATTTAAATACGCTGTTGGTAATATGAACCTACAGGCAGGTCCACAATACACGTACACTCTGCTTATTACACACACACACTCTGCTTATTACACACACACACACTCTGCTTATTAGGCCGGAGACACACTGGCTGTGTGGCATGTCCGTTTTTATTTCGGCTCCTGTGTTAACAGGTTACTGCCTTGCACACTGCCTGCGTGACGCGCGCACTGAAAATGCTTGCATGCTAGAAATAGAACCGACGTCTATTTTTCACGCGACACGCAAGCATGATGGAAGCGTTTCCAGGCAAAAAACAATAGGAAACAATGTTTATATGTCATTTTGTACACGAATACATATTAATAAATTACATTTTGATGTTTGAAAGTCTAGGTTTTTGACATAAATTCAGATAAATTGGAATCGCGAGCGCTGAGAGGACGCTGGCGTGTCTGTCGCCGCTTCTCATGCTCACAAACAAAAATAACGCACTACTCCAGCTACTCTGTGCTTCTTCTCCGTTGCTTTATCAAAGCTGGACTATACTTCATGCTACTAGTTGGATTAATTTCCTCACATGCTGCAACTTTTTCGCTGTGTGCTCTGGTTATGCTACAGGATTCGTTAAACCTGTGGTTTTTCCAGCTGCTACACTTCCTTGCAATCGGACGATTTCCAAACTGTGAACACTGTAATTACCTCTGTCAACGGCTTGATCCTCCACAGTATTCTCTGTTGAAGCCTGGTCGTGATGATCTGCGGCTTGTAAGCTGCTAGCTAGTGTTGGGCAAGCTAGCGTTTTCCTCTGGCACCATGGCATTCCTAAGATACTGCGCTCTGGAACTCAAGAATATCAACTCGCACATCGTACCAGGCAACGGTAGCCTTGAGGTGATTAAAGCACCCCCCCCCCCCCCCCATGTGCACAGGGCTGTTCGGCATAAGCTTGTTTATGTGGAGACATCCCAGGCTATTCCTGTTGTTCGGTGTATCACTACCCGGCGGCAACGTCATCAGAACGAGCCGCGCATACACCTTTTGAATCTACGCCCCGTTGAACAGGCTGCTGACATCACTTCTCATGCCAATTCATCTGTCCTGAAGTCTGTTTCATTCATGTTGCTGAACACTCGATCACTAAATAACAAAGCACCACTCATACATGACATTATAACTGACAGGAAACTGGATTTTCTGTGTTTAACTCAAACTTGGCAGAACCAAATGGACTTTATTGTGCTTAACCAAGCTTCCCCCCAAGGCTATAGTTATATTCAAAAGCCACGTAGTTCTGGACGGGGTGGGGGACTGGCTGTTATCCATCATGAAGATTTCCATATAAAAGAATTTCCAGTACACACCTCTTCATTTGAGTGCATTCATTTTGCTTTGACCGGGCCACTGCGGCTACAAGTGGTCCTTGTCTATTGTCCGCCAAAGGCATCTGCTAGTTTCCTGCCGGAGCTCTCTGATCTCCTTGCTCTAATCTGTCCCACCTTTCCATCTACTGTCTTACTTGGTGACTTTAACATCCATGTTGATTCCAGTAATTTTTACACTGCAGAATTTTTGTCACTACTGGACTGTTTTAATTTTTCACAAGACGTCAATGGCCCAACCCATGCTAAAGGTCATACACTGGATTTGGTATGCTCCTTGGGTATAACTCCAACCCATCTGCAAACTATCGACCTAGCTATTTCTGATCACCTTGCCGTTATGTTCTCTATTTCTTTACACACACACAGGAAGTGTGTGAAAAGGACCATTGCATATCGAAACATCAAACAAGTGTGCATAGATAAATTATCATACACTCTTGCAGGCCAACTTATCAGCTGTCCTCCATCCTGTACAGTTGATGACTTGGTCACTCACTACAACCTGGCCCTGTCACATAGTCTGGACTCTGTTGCCCCCCTCATCACTCGATCCGTCTCATTCTCCTATCCTGCTCCCTGGTTCACTGCTGAACTTCGCGCCATGAAGGCTAAAGGGCGGAGGCTGGAAAGGTACTATAAAAAATCTAGCCTGACTGTCCACCAGCTGGCCTACAAGAACCACGTTAAGAGCTACAAAGATGCTCTATCCATGGCGAAGAATAACTACTACGCTACACTCATTGGCAACCAACAACATCATCCTAAACAGCTTTTTTCCACCATCAACCGCCTACTCTGTCCACCTGACCCTCCTCAACCCTCTGATGCTGCTGGGCTATGCTCTAGATTTCTGGTTCATTGCCAGGAAAAGTTTGAAACCATCCACCAACAACTGCAGCTGTCCAGCTTATCGCAGTCAACCACGCTGCCATTGTCTGACACAAATTCTTCAACCGCTCTCGCGCCTCAGGACTGCCTCTTCTCTTTCTCCCTGCTCAACACAGCTCAAGTTCTTGAGCTAGTATCAAAAGCAAAGGCCACAACCGGCAAACAGGATCCTTTGCCGACAGCCTTGGTTAAGGCATGTCTTCCAACTTTGGGTCCAACATTGGTCAACATCATTAACACCTCGCTGTCATCTGGGGTGGTCCCCACCAGCTTTAAAACTGCTGTGGTGATCCCTAAACTTAAAAAACCGGGCCTGAACCAAGAAGATTTAAACCATTACCACCCTATCTCAAACCTACCTTTCATATGTAAGTTATTGGAAAGGGTTGTGGCTTCCCAACTCAACCATCACATGCTACAGCACAATCTCTACGAGCCTTTTCAATCTGGTTTCAGGACACATCACAGCACAGAAACTGCCCTCATCAAAATCACGAATGACCTTCACATGGCAGCTGACTCTGGCCATGTCAGCATCCTAATACTTCTTGACCTCTCTGCACCCTTCGATACAGTCTCCCACTCCATTCTTCTTACATCTCTCTCTGAACTCATTGGCCTTACTGGTACAGTGTATTCCTGGTTTAAATCCTATCTCACCGACGGGCAACAATACGTCACCTTCAAGGGGATTTGCTCTAAATTGGCGCCGGTCCTGCATGGCGTGCCACAAGGATCGGTCCTAGGCCCACTGCTATTTAATATTTAAATGTTGCCACTTGGGATGATTGTCCGGAAGCATGGATTACACTTCCACTGCTATGCTGACGACACTCAGCTCTACATCAGCACTAACCCTTCTACTTCGCTTCCACCAGTGCCACTTACTAACTGCCTGAACTTAGGACATAAAGCACTGGCTGGACAGTAACCTTCTCAAACTGAACAAAGACAAAACAGAACTCATGGTGTTCGCCCCGCTGTCACTTCTTAAAAAGTTGATGACTTCATACTGGATGTGGATGGCTGCTCAATCTCTGCATTTCCTTAAGTATGCAACCTGGGCGTCATCATGGACTCCACTCTCTCCTTCCAACAACACATCAAAAACGTCACTAAAATTGCTTTCTATCATCTCAAGAACATCTCCAGACTCCGACAGTGCCTCTCCAATTCTGTAGCTGAGGCCCTCATCCACTCATTCATCACCTCCAGACTTGACTACTGTAATGGTATCCTGTTCGGTCTACCCAGCAAAGCCACTGATAGACTTCAGTATGTGCAGAACTCTGCGGCTAGGATGCTCACACGCACAAAACATGGTCTTCACATTACTCCTATCCTGATGAAGCTACATTGGCTGCAAGTAAAGTCCCGCATCAAATATAAAATCCTCCTCCTGACGTACAAGTCTCTCCATGGACTTGCACCCCAGTACATTATTGATCTTCTCCATCCCTACACTCAGTCACGGTCCCTGCGTTCCTCTGACAAGGACCTGCTTGCTGTTCCTAAGTCCAGGCTTAAGACATTTGGTGATAGAGCTTTCTGCGTTGGTGCTCCGTCACTTTGGAACAAGCTTCCCCATGAGATCCGCTCTGCCTCCTCACTTTCAACCTTCAAAAATCAGCTCAAAACACACCTCTTCACTGAGGCCTTTGGGCTCTAGCTGCCCTGGCCTCTTGCCTCCTCCTTAATTCCCCCTTCCCATTCTCATGTCCTTTGTTAAGCGTCCTTGGGTACTTTGAAAGGCGCTATATAAATTAAAGTTATTATTATTATTATTATATCAATGACACAGCTAATCCAAATGTAGACGGTCCCTCTATGTCACCTAGCAGCAGCAACGTCAGACACGTTTCTGGTGTGTAAAGACACAGAAAACACAACGCAGCTGACGCAACAGAAACACCACACTCACGCCACGCAGCCAGTGTGTCTCTGGCCTTACACACGCACACACACACACACACACACACACACACACTACAGCCTCATGTGCGACGAGCCACGTCTCTGGACAGCTGCGTAAACTAGTGTTTTACCGCCACAGCCGCCCATGCTGCATGCATGTTTCACTAACGTTGACGAGATTAACCCCTCAGGTATCGAAATTTGGTACCGAAAAACAAGACATGTTTCGATACTCGGTAGTATCGAGGCAATTCGGTCGGTACCTAAAAAGTATCGAACTCGATACCCAGCCCTAATTAAGAGAATAGAGACAAAACACACCCATTACTCATTAAGAGAATAGAGATAACACTTTTAGACCAGCGCCGGAAGCGCCGACCATTTTTCCTGTCATTAACTATCAAAAGTGGATTCAGACACTGCGCTTAGATCATAAAATAGGGCCCATGGTCTCGCTGTCAGAGATTTGACTTAAACGTGTATGAGAAGTTTCAGTTTCTTTCAGTGAACAAGTACATTTTTAGATCCTAACGTGGTAAATCTCTCTCTCATACATCTTACTTCTGTGTAAAGGACATTTCTCACCTGATGCTCTGCCACTCGCCCACATTAACATCTGGCTGACGTTTCAGGTGACGAAAGTGGAGGAACCGTCTAAGTATGGCGTGGTTGTTTATGAAGGGGACACTGGACGAATACATCGCTTCGTTGAGAAACCGCAAGTGTTTGTCTCCAACAAAATCAACGCTGGGATGTACATCTTCAGCCCTGCCATGCTGAAGAGGATCCAGGTCAGGACCCACTCTCACAACACCATCATCCGTTTACACTGGCTTTTCAAAAACATTTTTATTTTTTCGTACAAACTGCGATCAATATATGTACTGCTTAAAGTAAACGAAGGATTTTTTTAGTACTGTAAACTACATTATTTCGCAACTCGTACTGCCTTTCATTTATAATGTGCCTAAAAGTAATTAAATAGCTTTATTCTATGTTTCTAAATGTAAGAAAAGGCTCTAAACGTGACATGAAAGCATTTAACTTTAGTATAATAATTTTCTTGATTGAAGATCGAGTTATGATCGTTATAAAAATTGCTAGGTCAAAAAAGGTACATACAATTATTTCTAATTCAAAATAACATCAATAACATGCATTTAGAAAATGGATCGGGTGAATTTACATTAATCACTCTTTTCTGCCGCTTCTGCTGTGCAGAGTTTGTTGATACTGTTTTTGACACAATTGCCCTAATTGTGGCAGTTATTGATTAACTGTAAGAATTTGATATAAAAGATTAGATATTTAATAAGGTTTGAAAAAATTACCCTTACAATACAATACATGTATTTTAAAATATTAGGGTGAAATATCAAGTCAAGTATATTTATATAGCGCTTTTCACAATATAGATTGCATCAAAGCAGCTTCACAGTATCAATCAAAACATAATAACAATGTTCGAAATGTGACATGTTTTGTGTGATGTGCTCTTTATTTTCAGGGTTTGATCACTTCATAACTAGTTGAACATTGTGTTAAGCTGATTTAAAGTGATTTAAAGGTGCGTTTAACAAAGCTAGGAGTTCAGATGCAATCCTCGGCTCCCTCCAACATTTAAGAGCTAAACTGTTGCACAGTATTTACATTAAAGTCCCTGTAAAGGTAATTCAACAAAAAAATTCTAAACACATTATAAATGTTACAAATGTATTGCTAAAACATTTTACAAAGACTATGGAGAAAAATATGGAGTTAAACAGTTTTTTACCCTTGCTATTTTACGGATTTTTTGGGCGGGGCTAAAACAGGGCTCGATGACGCACTGGACCCCAAGAGCTCGTGGACATGCCCCAACTTGATGATGCACGTTGGCTGATCCATAGACTGGGGCTGATCTCTCCCCTAAAAATAGAGCACATTTGCATTTGCCACTTCATCTACAGTTTGCTAGCTTGCTATGCCTTTGACAAGGAAATGCATAGGCTACTACCTGGATGCGATCATGTACAAAACAGATCGGTGTCTTTATTTAAATTTCCTAAAAGCGATCACATCAAGAAGAGGTGGATTAATTTTGTGTAGAGCCAACCTTGAGGATCACCGACAGCAACACCCGCCTCTGTATTGATCATTTTACACAGGATCGTTTTATAAACTTTCCTCAGAGACAACTGGCATTCACTGATAATCCGTTGCTGCTGGTGAACGGGGCCGAAACGACTATCTTCCGTCTCAGCGTTCATCCTCCCGTTCCGAGAGCAGTTTCACCTAATATCACCATCGACAGCTTTCCTGCGAGTGGGCGTGGTTTCAGCTCAGCCAGCGGACACGCCCCCAGCGTTTGAGAACAGAGATAACTGCTGATTTTTTCAAGATTTTGATAGCTTATTTTATGTACTTGCCGGCTTTTTTTAACATTCAAATTTGGCTGGGTGGCTGATATCACATTTTTCTGTGGTATGACAGACTCAGAACACATACTTAATTTTGACTTTACAGGGATTTTATAATGAAGAATCATCTATCCGAAAACAACATATACCACATTCAAGGTAACTATTTTTATTAGTGCATGCATTTCCTGGGACATGAGCCCATGCCCACTGCTAGCACCATGCCCTGCGGTTTGAGGAACACGGCATTAATGCCAGCTTCTAATGTGGGTCGGCTGCTGTGAAGGAGAAATGCTGTCCCAGCACATAACTTCCTTTATTCTTCATTCTGTAAATCCATCCATCCATTCTCACAGCGTGTGTCCTCGGTAGGTCCTGTAGGCGGGATGCTGGAGCTCTTCCCAGTGAACTATTGGCAGAGAAACACCCTGAATGGATGGCCAGTCCATCGACAAAAGCACAATAATGTAGACCAAAGTTTCACAATAATGTAGACCAAAGTGTCAAATGTCAAATTTTTGCAAGAAATTATATTTTTGTATGTGTAATTAGGTACTTTACATACAGGAAAAAGGCTCTAAAAGTACAATCTAGGCTCTAAAAAAGGCTCTGAAAGTGCATCTAGTACAATATTAATATTTGCATAAATCTACAGTAAATGTAAATGTAGAGACAGCTTCTCAAACTTCAGATTGGCTAGGTGGCCTGTAAAAGATTAGCGCGATATCTCTGCTCAGGTCAGTTATGCCACTTATTTATTTCAGGGAATAGGATTATTTTCTGCATACTTCAATAAAAACTTGTTTTATTTTATTGCTGAAGTTTCCAACGTTTTCTGTATTTTGTACTTCAGTTGCGACCCACTTCCATTGAGAAGGAAATATTTCCAGTGATGGCAGAGGAGGGACAACTGTATGCCATGGAGCTGCAAGGTAAAGGATCACCTGACACCTGACTTTCACCTGACAAGCTCTTACTTGGACCATCATACAAGCAATGATACATTTAGAGGCACTGTATGTAAGTTTTGCAGCCAATGGAAAGCAATCTGGGTCTCAGGCAGAAATCATGTTCGTGGATGAGCGTATTAAAGTTTTATGAACATTACTGTGGTAAGAACCAGGGTGTATTTTACATTGCTGGTTTTATTATTATCCACCGTTGCTGCAGACGCTCCAGTCGTTTTGTTGTGTATGCATATTTTATGATTAAGTCAAGTCAAGTCACATTTATTTATATAGCGCTTTTCACAATACAGATTGTATCAAAGCAGCTTCACAGTGATAACATGAAGGCAGTACAACACAGATCAATAATATTGTTAAATATAACCCCAACTGAGCAAGCCAAAAGCAAGGCGACAACCCAACCATACGCGCCGACCCGTTTGTCTAAAAGGCTGTCGAGCCCCACTGGTGCGTTAAGCAGTTTCAGTGGCAAACGGTTCCGTATGGCATAACAGAGGACTAATAGGTAAAGCATTATGTGAATGCTTGACTAAAGAGATGCGTCTTTAATCTAGTTTTAAACTGTGTCAGCGAGTCAGAGGCTCGGACCGTATCGGGAAGGCTATTCCAGAGTTTTGGCGCTAAATGCGAGAACGCCCTCCCTCCTTTACTGGACTTCGATATCCTAGGAATGACCAGAAGCCTTGAATTTAGTGATCTTAAGGAACACGCTGGATTGTTTTAAAGCTGCAGTGCGATGTTTTTCCTCTTTGTCGCCATCTCTGTTAAAAATCTGCAATTGCAGTCATTTGCGGTATTATCAACTTTACGCGAGCTGTACTTCGAGACCCTCGGTGTGGATGAACACACTGTTTCAGGAGAGTGTGAGAATGTCATCTAAACTAGTAACATCCACTTGTTCTGGTTCTGACATTGAAGTAAATCGGGGTGATTAATTCTAACAATCGCTTGTACGTTATCGTATCATGCAAAACCGTGCAAATTACTTTGCTCTCAAATTGTTAATGTTAACAACGTCAGCATTGCGTGACTACATATAATGTCCTTCCGATATGTATCCTTGTTTTCGCATGGGTCCGGTTGCAGTCTCTTTTTTTCTGTAGCCACTCTGAAGTCTTTTGCGTTTTTCAGCGGGTGAGTCTCCAGTTGTTACTGGTGATTGTCGTTTGAACCTTTCTGGATCCGCCATCAAATTGATAAGTTTAATCAAGTGCTGTGAGAAAAGGCTATAAATCTCCACCTCCAACATCCTCACACGCAATAAAGCCGACTTGCTGAGACTCTTCTGTGTGTGTACAGATGTGTGTGTAGAGATGAGATGTATGTGTACAGATGTGTGTGTACAGACGTAATGATGCAAAGACATGCTCGAATCTCCCGCGTAAATCCACTAGCACCACTGGAATTAAAAACATTATTTCTAGCGTACCACTTTGAATCAAGCTACGGCAAGCAGTGTTTTGAACACTGGCTGGTTCTGTATTTTCTCAAATATGTATTTCGGATCATTTTTATCCCCAAAAAAGCTACAGACTGCAGCTTTAAAGATTAATGTTTAACATCCACCTCCTTCCCTGAACTTGAACTTTGTTATGTTTGATCTGTTTAATTCACACAATTTTATTTTATCCTAATGAAATAGTCACAACTACTCATAGAGGTCACTTTTATTTGATGAATTAAAACAAGAGATTCAAACAATAAGACTAACTTTGTTGAGCTGATTAGTTTTCTGTCGATAAAGGTATCCAAACAGTTGCTTACCTGTCTAATAAAACGCATATAATATTAAAGAGTCTTTGGGGTTGTTACGGAAGTAAACCAGAAATCGAGGTTAAAGTGGATATGTGAATAAATCGAGTTATAGTGGATAGATTCGCTAGATTGATACTTGTCTGGGAAGTATCCAGTTCAGAATTCCTTTCCCTGTTTGCATTCGATTACGCTATTGAACTGTCAAGTCAAGTCATCTTTATTTACATAGCCAGGGTGCGAACTACAGGGGAGCTAGGGGAGCTCGGCTCTCCTTAAAGATGAACTGAACTGAAAAAAATCGACGATGACAACGTGTTGTTTATGACAATTAAACGTAAATTACACTAAACATTTAAATAAAAAAATATGAATATAGCTTTTTTTAAGCAACGCAAAATTGCGCTTGCTAGCGCTGGCAATTTCGATGACGTCACTGGCATGGTAGGACCCGCGGAGCTCCATAGACAACAGCTGCAGGTCCTATATTCACAGACGAAAATGAGCACTTTTAACGCCATGGATTACGCATTTGAGCCCATGAGGGACAGGCCGGTAGTGTCTGACTACCACCACATGGAGGACGATCAGTTTCAGGCTTCACTTGCAGTACAGGATCGTTTGGGGGGAAGTCACTGTGGGCGCGAGCGCTGTGGAGAATGCAATGTAGTGCACCGGAGCCGATCTGTTGCAGAGAGGTCAACCTGGAACATTTATTGATCGGCAAAAAAAAGGAATCACCGTCGTGCACCGTTCATTTCGGATGCTGTTTGGTGAGAGAAACGTGTTGGGGGCGGAGGCTATGCTGTCTCTAATGGATATCCGAGCTGAGACACGAGCGCCCCATCAACAGGGTATTTTACGAATAGGACTAGGCTGGGCTAACTTGTTACACTTTTCTCAGATTGTTTAGATTAACAGCGTACTGACAGTTCACTCTATGTGCGAGGGTGCATTTAAGAAGGAGAATCCCATCCTTTACAGTGAACTATGCATCAGGGATTTTTCCCTCATTTTTTACTCATACACATATCTAAATAGTGTTTCCTCAGGCATGTTAGCGCGCCTCAGACTGTTTACAAGCTACGGCTGTTCTGCTGGTGCGGGTAGGTAACGGAGGAGCTAACCATGCCAGTGACGTAGTCGAATGTTGAAATCCAACATGGGGGCGCCCCTGTAACAAAAACAACACTTTCAATGTACCATTTTTTAACAAATATTGCCATTTTAAAAATTGTACCAATGAGAATAAATAAAATACATCTGTTATATCACCTTTTCTCAAATTTCAGTTCAGTTCATCTTTAATATGGCATGGCTCCCCTGAAAACGTGATTCGTGAAATTTTGGGTGGTCTCAAAAAATATTGACAATGTTTTATTTTGACGTGCAATTTCAGTTTTGTGTAATGTGATCATTGTGGAGTATTATGTGTAAAACATCAAAAATATTTTTAATTCATGCATGACGGCGATTTAAACCTAATTCACTTTAATAAAGATAACTATACATGCTATTCTTGTCATGAGCATCAATGTATGGTGGCGCTGCAGTGCAAATTCCAATCACGTTTAATACATGTTAACTCAAAGATTCGTAGAAAAAATATAAACGTTGGAGGCCATTGATCTGCGCAAAGTCCTTGAAATCCATTCTGTGTTAAGGTAAGGCATGTTATTCCCAATTATGTGTTGTGGCTGGGGTTGTTATAGGTCTGCTTGACTCTCGGGGCCCTATTTTAACGTTCTGAAACGCAAGTGTCAAAGCGCATGGCGCAAGTAACTTTGTGAGCGGGTCCCGGCGCTGTTGCTATTTTCCCGGCGGGATAAATGCCTCTTGCGCCTGGCGCAAATCTAAAAGAGGTTGGTCTGAAGTAGCTTCATTATTCATAGGTGGGGTTTGGGCGTAACGTGAAATAAACCAATCAGAGCGCCATCCAACATACCCTTTAAGAACAGGAGCGCATGTTGCGCATGACGGATTGTTATTATAACGGCGCGCCAGGAGCGTTCACAGCCGAGGAGACCGACGTTCTTGTCAGGACAGTGAAAGACAGAGAGGTGACGTTGTATGGGGATGGGAGAAACCCTCGCACATCAGCGTCGGTTAAACATTATATACGTATGTTTCTTGCCACTATTGGGCAAACAGGTCTGATCCTTTAGTACTACAATTAGCCCAAAAAAAATGGGTAACTATAGTTATAAAAACCTATAGGTTTTTCATCTTCATGTAAACCACAATGATTTCCCTCATGTGTTAATATTTTTCCTTGTTATAATGTATGATTTGCAAAAATAAAAACTACTGCATCTGTGTTGATGAGTGTATGCGCGCTGTGCACCCGCTACATTATGGCCAAGCATGCGCCCTTAAAATAGCATTATGAACAACGCGCAACGCGCGCCACTGACTTTAGACCAGGTTTTTTCTGGTCAGTGGCACAATTGTTTTCTGGAAGTGTAAAATAGCACCAGGGAATGTTTGCACCGAAACACGCCTCCTTTTTGCGCCGATCTGCCCAGGGAGCGCAGTTCATTCCCTAGTTTACCGACGTGCGTCTGTGGAGGGGAAAATCCCGCTTTGTGTGCATGCAAAATAGGAATGAGACATGCGTTTGTGTATAAAGTCATTTGCGCCAGGTGCAAGTTAGGGCCCTCGGTGTCTTAGGCCTAATTGAATGGAGAAATTGTGGTATTCTTCTGTAGCCGACGAGTAATTTAACCCTTGTTCAAGTGAACTCAAAGACAGCCTATATTATAGACTATTTATGGATGGCTGTTTGCTGTTTGACTTATCAATTTGTGTCAATGCGGTGAATCCTGCATATAGTGCTTGCATAGACTTGCATACACTTGTAGCTGTTATGTATCTTTGGACGTCCTTGAAATGAATGGGTTTCATAGCGCTGTGCATTCCGCCTTCTGTCTGGAAGGCGCTTAAATCCTTTGCACGCACAAGTGCATGAACACCCCCAACCCCACCTCCCCTCCCCCCCCAACATTTTTGTTGCTAACATTTTGTTGCTAACGAAGCTAACCGTCTGTGTTCCAGGTTTCTGGATGGACATCGGCCAGCCCAAAGACTTCCTGACAGGCATGTGCATGTTCCTCCAGTCCGTTCGGCAGCAGGCGCCCGAGAGGCTGCGCGTGGGACCGGGCTTCCTCGGGAACGTCCTTGTGGTGCGACATATTACTGACACATACATTACTGGAGTTCTAATATATAGTAACCATGAAAGCTTATATATGTTGTATTTGTATGTTGTACACCTGAACTGCTAATCAAGCTCTTTCAGGCAGGTGTATTGAGGCTTACAAGACCCTCCAGGAACAGCACTGGACGCCCCTGTTGGAAGCAGAATATGGTACATGTACTAAAACTATATGCCATTAACCTCCACCCAACTGGTTACAGGACCCAACTGCGGTGATCGGGGACAACTGCACCATCGGGCCTAATGTGACGATTGGCGCTGGGGTGGTTCTGGAGGACGGGGTGCGAGTGAAGCGCTGTACGGTTCTGAAGGGGGCGCACATACGCTCACACTCCTGGCTGGAGTCATGCATTGTGGGCTGGAGCTCATCGGTGGGACAGTGGGTGAGTTCACACTTTCAGCAATAGAGCCACCAACTGGTTTTAGAAGTATTTTGTCGAAATATTTTTACCACCTGCTTGGTACCTCTAGAACAGAAGACAAAATCTGGTCTGAGGCTAAAGGGTGCTAAATCGAAATGGATGTGTGCCCTGATTAAAGTGGTGCCTGTCGGAAAGTTGTTTACCCTTCTTCGTTACCTGTTCCACACTATCCGCCAACTGAGACAGGATGTCATTGTGACGCCACCGGAATTTCCCGTCTGCCAAACTTGCCCGTATGCTGAAAGGATGTGCTCAAGATTGGCTGGCTTTCCACACAGCGTGCAGCTGGGGATCTCTGCCATCCCCCAAATATGGAGGTTTGATGGAGTAGGCAGGACATCGTGGACAGAACACATCAAGAACTTTATCCGAAGTCCAGATGTCCAGCCACGTCAGGACCCTTTCTCGTTCGCCCTCCCACCTTGTTCACCTGCCCTGTTTTTTCATGGCAACAGCCATGGGTTTCCTCCTCTGTTTTACAGACCTCCCTCTGCACCATGCCGTGACATTCTTTTGGGTCCGGCTTGTTCTGGTGGAGCAACCCAGTCCAAGCCTGCCCAGAGCTACTGTCCCAACGATGTCACCACTGATGTCACTGGCAGCTGCAGCTTGATGCCTGTGCTATACAAGCCAATAGGGCAGAAGCTTCTTGGACACCCTGCCACCTCCTCAAATAGGTGTTAATCTTCCTTTCCAATCCTTCGACGGTAGAGATAGGTATCTCATAAACAAGCAGAGCAGGCCAGAGCAGCCTAGGGAGTACCACATGTTGGTAACCCCAGGCCGTCAAGTATCTACCTGGATAATCACCTCCCTCACACTCTTCATATCATCGAGGTCTGCCCTGTACCATTTCCCAAATCTCTCTTGGACCATTGGGATGATGGTATCCTGAAGTGCAACTGGTCCTGGATGCGCCCCTTCCTCAATACCGGGCTTCTGGACATTTCTAGTTTGAACAATTTGTTTGAACAAAACTCCCTCCTTTTGGATGGACTTGTCTCTGCTTTAAGGGTCCATAGTGACCCCAGAAGGGACAGCATATGTGTTTTATGAGTTTCTCCGTCTCCTCCAGGCTGTCCTCCCTTCTGGGGTCACTATGGACCTGACTAAGGTGCTCCTCCTTCCTCCTCCTTTGTTGCTTTCAACTCCCCTGATCTTACATCGCCCATAAGTTTCGACCGATATTTGAAATCTATCCTCTCCTTCATTAGTCGTTTCCTGTCCCTACAGTGACATTCAGCTCTTCGCAAGATCTTAGTGTGCTCTCTCAAGCTGTCACGGATTTGCTTTAGTGCTGGTCTCTATCATTCTCTCACTGTTGCTTCACAAAATGTCTCCCTTAGCCTCCGCAGATCCCCCTCTAAGGATTGCCATTTCCTTCATGGGTCTGCTTTTCTTTTGGCTGTGGGTGTTTGTTTTGGCCTTCAGCTCTTTCTTTCCGAAGCGATCAGCACCTATGCTCCAAATGATGAAAGCCATAGCCTTGAGCTTCTTACCACATCTCCTGCCAAGGCTGTTTCCAGAACCTCATCCACATCATGATCAAACCTCTCCCACTCCTTCCTTGCCACTGCAGTTCACTGATTCCTTTCGGGCCACTTCTACACATATGTCCTGTCCAGGTCTTCTAATGTCCTGTGTACCCTCCATCTCTGTCTGGTGCTTTGTGTCTGACATGTCGGCAATGCCGTTCCTGCTCCCATCTTTATCATGTGCCTGGAGATTCCGGGGGCTGTGGTTTATGGCCTCTCCTCGTCTCACCAGGTTTCCCTGTGCGTTGTACATTATGTTCGGGTTACAAGTACTTCATCTTTGACTGATGTATCTTCAGACCCCTCTCATTTTTACATATCTTCCCACATCTGCAGACCCGGGATAAATCGTTTAAACTCTTCCATAGTCAATAGTCTGTCCTGTGGACCGATCAACCCCCCCCCCCCTGGGGGCATCTTGTAATGTACCTTTCCATAGCATTTAGCAATTGGTCCCTCCTAGTTAAGGTTGTGCTTCGGCCTGCCAAACCTCCACACTCCAGCTTTGGTCCTTCCCAGCCATCAGCCGTTCTTCCTCGGTCGCCAACTTGTCTTTCCAAGTAGTCACTGGGTCAACCAGAAAAAGATATGCCAAAACGATGTGATCATCGCAGCTGGCCCACCTTTACAGGTATTCTGCCCTGCCCCATCTGAGAGCCAGTGACATCGCTCTCTCCTCTCCTTCTCTCCTCCTTTCATACACCATTTATGCATGAAAGGAGGAAAGCAATATAAATTCAAAGCATAATTAAAGCGCAATTGAAGCACAGTATTAATTAAAAGCACAAAAGAAAAAAACAAATCAAGTCAGCTTAATTTCTATACTTTATACAATATAGATCATTTCAAAGCAGGTTTACAATGATAACAGGAAAATAATGATTCAGTGATGCAAGCATGCATGAACGTGAAGCATGCATGAAGTGATCTCTTGCGTGTGTACGTCACTCATTGTTTACCCAGAGATTTCGGAAGTTTTACCTTTCACTGTAAAGATCTAAAAATATTTAGATATATCGAATTCACCTTCCATTGCAATTTTTCTGTATACCTAAATATGTTTAGTGAAAGGTAAAATTTCCGAAATCTCTGTGTAAACAATGAGTGACGTACACGTGCGAAAGATGCGGCGCATGCGCAGACCGAAGCACTCGTGCCGTCAGATCACTTGGATGTGACTGTGGTTACAAGAGGTAAAAACGATATAAATACTGTTCGTTTTCTTACAAAAACCGCTCATTTCGTGTCTTAGGCCATCAATGTGTACTTACATTTACGAGTCATTAAATCATGTTTAATTTGGACTTCTCTGTGCATGCTCTTTGAGGTGGTGACCATAGACCTCCATTATATGACTGACAGACAAGAACAGTTTGACCTAAAAATATCAAAATTGAAAATACTGTGGAAACAAAGATACCTACATCTTGGATGCCCTTGAGGTAAGCTAAAACAAATCAAAAATGAATTTCAAAGTGAACTATCCCTTTAACACTGGTGTGTTAAAGCAGTTTCAGTGGTAACGGTTCCGTATGGCATTACCACCTTCCGCAAAACACAATATCTGCCCAACCACCCGTCGTTCACGCAATATACTCAGAAACATAATGACTGTAATTACTATGCAACCAATACACATAAACCAACAGACTCTTCAAGTTTTCAAGAATTCGACGAAACCGTAGCGTGGCGGCCTGTACACAGCCAGCCAGAATCTTTCCGTCTCAACCACAGCCAGTTGCTGCTCCTCTCTGCTGCTTCAGATAAGCTCTTTACTGTGCGACGCAACTCTTGGCCACTGAATCCGACGTCTCTGAGGAACCGGGTTGTAGAGTGTGTCACAAAACCTTGACAACCCACTTCCACTGGATAAACCTGTACTCTCCATCCTCGCTGTTCTGCTTCAGTGGCCAGATGAGCATACCGCAGTTTCTTCCTCTCATACAGTATGAATCATCTACAGCATCCTCCCATGGCACTCTTAGCTCTTGTAATATCTGGTCGGAGGACGGTGCTGGCAATCTCAGGTGGAAAAAAAGCCGTTAATCAAGATCAGCCAGCATCTTCCAGTCTCAAGCAGCTTCCAGTTGTCCTGGGTGAGAATTGGTGTTAACACCTTTTCTTGGTGGTTGCTCGCCTGGGTGGAGGAATATTGTCTTCTGCGTGTCATGTTTTTCCAGAACAGGCGGCAACGTATTGGTCATATTACGCTTGCCTTCCAATGCTAAAGCCAAACATCGCAGTTCTTGGTCATGGCGCCAAGTAAACCGACCTTGGCTAAGAGCCACCTTACATCCTGTCAGAATGTGCCTTAATGTGTCAGGTGATGAACACAAAGGACAAGAGGGATCCTCTCCTACCCAGAGGTTTAGGTTCTGCGGTGATGGGAGAACATCAGATGTTGATCTAATAAGGAAACTGATCCTACTCTCTTCCATTGACCAAAGGTCTTGCCGGCCCATCTTGCGTTGTTCCACACTCTCACATCTCATCCACTCTCCCTGCTTAGCCTGGGAAATGGCCTTTATACACCTCATCCTCTCCTCCTGCTTCCGCACCTCATTGACTACCAGCTTCCTCCTTTGAGCTGGGCCTGCCTTTTTAGCTAAACTGAAATGAGTTAAATTCAGCTCTGTAGAAAACAGTGTTGTCATCGTCCAGCTCAGTTCAGTTCTCAAACAGCAGTGTCAGTACAGGCAGATCAATGATACTGTTGAATATTAAGTGTTTCCAACTAATCAAGGCAACAATGAAGAGAACCCAAACTCCCATCAGTGGATAATAAACCTCGGGAGAAACCAGACTCAGTCGCTCAGTTCACTAATCACTACTTGTCTCATAAAACATTGTGAATGATGATTAAAAAAAGAAAATGAGGGAAACAAGTATTAGACTATAGTCTATAAGCAATTTTAAGGATCAAATAAATGTATTATAAACATATTATAAAACACAAACATGGTAATGGGTGGTTATTACTGAGATGTTTTGAACCCTATCTTGTTTTCCATCCTCTGTTGTACAGTAAGTAGGTTTTCTGTGTGATAAGGTGTGGCTCTGTACTTGTGTTGGGCAGGTGCGGATGGAGAACGTCACAGTTCTGGGCGAGGATGTGATTGTGAACGATGAACTCTACATCAACGGTGCCAATGTTCTGCCTCATAAATCCATTACAGACTCTGTTCCTGAACCGCGAATCATCATGTGAAACACCTTTCATGCCCCTCACGAAGTGCCCGAGTGTGTGTGTGTGTGTGTGAGAATGAGCATGATGGGAAAGGTATTGGTTGTGGAGTATCTAAAGTATGATTGTGCTGTTTCTGCAGGTAAATCTCATCTATAGTAGATGTTCTCCAACTAAAGGCTGCATCACACATTTCTGACCCATAAAGTGCTGTTGTCATTTCCCTCTGCATTGTGTCCTCTATTACTGACAATAAGAGCACGACGCCCCTCTCTTTGGTTCATCTTGTTGATTTTGAGATGCCATTAGGCTGTCTAGTAATTATGTTGGTATTCTTTTTCATTGTTTTGTTTAGTTGTTTATATATATAAAGGGAGCCATGCATTACTTTCTGGATAAAACACTGTGCCTGTAGAAAGAATGACAAGTAGCTATGTTTATGTATCAGATAACGCAGTAGCTGATTACTGTGATGACTTCCAGTAGTATGTACTAAATTATGCAAATCACATTTTATTCATCACTCAAGATCATGCAGAAATGTGATAGATATCTCCTTTACAGATGAACAAAGATAAAAACAGACTCTGGGAGTGATGTCTCTGTACACAGATTAAGATTTTGATGTCTTTTCTATCAAAGAAACATAAACCAATAAAACATCTTTTTGGCGTTTTCTTTTGAGTTGTTTTTACTTAAAAGCAATTTAAACTTGTAAATGTTTGAAGTTCCTGCAGCATTTGGGAATGTAAACAGAAATAAGACTGTGATTCATGCATATGAAATGTAGATTAAACCATATGGAGGAGATGTCTTGAATGTCCTAGCAACATAAAGGGCATTGCAAATCATGTGGAAATCATTAATGTGTTCAGTTGAAAATATTATGAGAATTCTTTACTATTAAATTGTGAAATACCAAAAAAACACCAGTATTATTCAGTCATTTATAATTTAAAATAATAACATGTATGTGCTCCTCAAAGTTCACAAAAAGTGGCTAATTCTTGTAAATAGATTCCCTGAAACTAGTTTTCAGGTCCATGGCTCGATGCATTTGGCTTTTTGGCTGCTTCTACAAGGAGTAGTTCACTTTTGAAAAAACTTTTGCTGATAATTTACTCACCCCTATGTCACCCAAGATGTCCATGTCTTTCTTTCTTCAGTTGAAAAGAAATTAAGGTTCTTGATGAAAACATTCCAGGATTTTTCTCCATATAATGGACTTCAGTGGGAACCAAACGGTTCAAGGTCCAAAAGACAGTTTCAGTAAAGGACTTTAAACGATTCTAGACGACGAATAGACCCCTTTTGCGCCGACGTCACAGTTACGTCACGGCGCTAGCTGGAGGCAAAACAAAGTGAAAACTGGAGGCGGCCAATACAAAACAGCACAGATTCGGGTATATAATAAGGAGCTTAAATAATTGTTATTACTATTATTAAATGTCATCTTGTTGTGTTGTTTGGTGCAAGAATTGATGAAAAATGAATGCTGTATCTGGAACTTTTATTTATAGAAAATATTCACATCATTAAAATCGCACTGTAATGTCACTCTTAATTGTCGTGGTCCCGGCGCTGGCTCGGCAAAACTGCGGATCGTACACACAAGTCTTGTACACGACCATATAGGCATCTAAAGATTTATATGCCCTCAGTTTCTCTTTACGATCGGTTTCTCTATAAGGTAGGTGTAGAAGTCTAGGCCACTCAACCGAGGTAACGTACGTTAATCCTGTCAGATCATCCATGCATTGAGTGAGTGTGTAGGCGGCTACAGGTCGGCCAATCTGGTTCCGTCCGTTAATAACTTTTGAAAATAACAACTTTGGGAAATATCGGTCTTGGACATTGAGTGACCTTACACATTAAGATAATATCGGATTTTCTCCAGTCATTGTTAAAAAACAAGCTAACATCCTTGCTAACTAGCGTTAGTGAAGCGGCCAGAGGGATCTTTCTGCCTCCACCTAAGCTCCGCCCACAAAAAACCGTCACTATGTTTACCAACTGTAAAAGGGTTTATAGAGAGCCTAAGTCCCTCCCCTTCCGGTCGACCACCATGGGACCTTATTTCGGAAAAATATTGAATGCTAGTCAATGGCGAGAGACAACAAATATTTTGATCTCGTTTGAATTGTGCCCTGAATTACACATATGATGTTTGTCAATTTAAAAGATACATTTTAAAGTAAAGAAATTCGCAGTTTGATGTAAAACCGATGAGGTATAAGACTGTGAAAATACGTAATTACAAAGACTACAAACCCCAAAGGCGCACATTTTCTCTCAATGAATGAAGCTAACTTTACTGAGGCTGTCTGTCATTGTTTCTACAGTCTTACGTTATAATCGTACGCCGTCCTACCTGAGTGTTTTGTACCAGACTGCACACACACGAGCAGCGGATCTCGTTTCGCTTCCCGGGAGATGTAGTTCACAGAGCGATTTTCACATAAAACTAAATGTTACTCTTCTGTTGTATGACAAACTGCGACGTTTTTGACTTTCAGAATTATCTTTTAAATTGACAAACATCATATGTGTAATTCAGGACACAGTTCAGACGGAATAAAAAGATAAGTTGTCTCTCATCGCCATTGACTACCATTCATACCCAGATAGCAGACTGACATTGAATCAACGTGGAAATATGACATCGAAACAACGTTGATCTGACATTGTTTTGCTCATCGAATTAACGTTGAACCAACGTCAGATGCGTCATTCTTTCAAAACTAACGGAAAATCAACTTGAAATCAACGCGTTGTTTCAACGTTATGAAAGCAAACCAATTTTCGATTTCATTTAGCTTTGAAGAATGCCGCGTCTGACGTTGGTTCAACGTTAATTCGATGAGCAAATCAACGTTGTTTCAATGTCATGAGAGACGTCGTTTCCACGTTGATTCAATGTCAGTTTGCTATCTGGGTATTTTTTCCGAAATAAGGTCCCATGAGCCGGAAGCGGAGGGGCGGGACTTAAGCTCTCTATAAGGGTCTTATCTAGTGAAACAATCAGTCATTTAAAAAAATAAAATAAAGTTTAAGTTTTATAAGCTCAAATGCTCACCTTGCTCTGTTCTGTGACACGTTTGTGACTCTCCTGTTTGAACTCATTCATCAAAATGAATAAATCTTTTTCTTAGTCAATTTGTTCGTTTCGTTCGTTGAATGAACTAAATGACACGAAAAAAGATTAGTTCATTTTGATGAACGAGTTCCACTGGAGAGTCACGAACGGGCGTCACAGAACAGAGCAAGGTCACCATTTGTGCTTATAAAACTTAAACTTTGTTTTTTTTTTTTAATGAGCGATCGTTTCGCTTGATAAGACTTATTCATAGTCTGAAACTGTCTATTGGACCTTGAATCATTTGGTTCCCAGTCCATTATATAGAAGTCCATCCATAGAAAACTGCTGGAATGTTTTCATCAAAAACCTTATTTCTTTTCGACTGAGGAAAGAAAGACATATCTTGGATGACATGGGGGTGAGTAAATTATCAGCAAAAGTTTTTTCAGAACTACTCCTTTAAATGAGTTATTGGGCGTAATTCTTAGTATTTAGTGTTAATCATGATGTCTATTCTGCACGAGAGACCACGGGCATCTATAGCGTCTGAAAAAAAATCCGAAACAAACACACACACACGACTTGAAAACGCCAGGCGATGAAGTCCATCTTCCTGACACTGAACGGATATGTGTGCGACGTGCGAGTGACAGGAGGCAAGTTACCATATTGCATTTGAAATTATAACTCTTGTTGAGTGCTTGCTTACAAGATCTCATCTCATCAGCTCTGTAAACAAAGGTTGACATTGACTCAGAGTAGACTCAGCACAGTTAGTTTCGTCTAATCTCGCATTCACGGGTGATGTAATGTCTCATATTCCTGCACAGAGGAAGCGGTCAGTCAGACAGAGGCTCTCAGTTCGTCAAACACACACACACCTCACCAAACACTGACTGAACTCAGCGCTACTCCACAGAATATACGGCTTGAATAAATAAGACTTATTCTCTAGTACAATGGATATGATCGCAAGGGATCAGAAGGTAAGTTGTCTCACTCTCAAACAATTCAGCAACTCGTCAACGCGCGTTGAGGTTTTAACTGTACAGAATGGTGTTTATTTTCATTGATGAATTCACATTTGTTGTATTGCTAACACCACATCTAAAACTTGAACTTTCAGTTATTACCTTTTTGAAGTGAAAAGAAACGCGTTTGCGCAGTAATTATGTTTGCTTTGGCCTCACACACTGGGTGGGGGTGATGTTGATTCCCGTACAGCAAGCTAACAGACACACGACAACAATAAGTGTGAAGTTTCGATAAGACTTTATTTAGCCTACTCAAAGTTTCGCATTAGGAACTAATATAAACGTCCCGTTTTTGGAATTCATTTTGCGCCAAAACGAGACAGCTGAGGTCCAAGATCTACTGAATAAATGAATAATCATACTCATATAACACATGCTTTTGTAGAATTGTATTTTTTTATTCTTTAGTTCTTGAGTTAATTGGCATCTGTGATTTAGTCCAGGAGGACACTCACAAACTCTTTGAAAATGTATTGAATACCAGCCAGTGTTGGCTGGGAGACACGAATGAATGCATGAACACTATCTGACTGCATTAGATCCTTCATGAATGACTGGGATTTACTGTATCATCCTTTCTATAACACAGAGCTAAAGTAGGAGTGCAGCAGTTGTGTGGTAAAAGTGTGAATGTCATGACCCTCTTATGAGACATGGGAAAAGGTACATATTTCCATTTAAAAAATCATTTTGAAGAGGAATGGCGGAAGAATAACTAATGTTGAAATGCATCTTATTTCCCTCCATCAAATCCATGCCTGTAACTCAAAAAGTATTCAAGATTTCCTTTTACATATCCTTTTCAATATCCTTTTACATTCTGGTTCTTTTGGCATCTACATTTTGAAGCCCCTATATGGTCTAATCCTAGAGATATGGGGATCTCAATGTGGCTCCATGAGTAAATTGCTGAAATATGCAGATACACAAAACCACATGTTGCCACTTTTCATGCAGCTAATAGTTTAGCTACTTATTGTTTTTAAAGAGGGATGTCTGACTCTGACGTAAAAAAAAATGTTGAAACTAAATGACATAATAGCAATAGTGTCTTGATTTTTGATTGTTTATAGATTGCTATTAATAATAAAGAAAACATGGCATTTCAGCTGGTATGATACCTTCATTTGTCTTTTGGATTTCAGAAGAATCAATTACTGTAATTACTAAATGCTAGACTTCTTTAAAGCGGGCTGGATTCTGCTTGGCTGTCAAGTGTTTTTATCGTTCATCAGCTGAAAAAAATCATGATATATTTAAAATGATTAACTATATCTTTATCGTTAATAAAATGAAATAAGATGCCCCTTTATCCCCGACACTGATTCAAATATAGGATCTTTTATATAGGATGATGCAAGTTACTGCACCTCCACCATTTCAGTGTATTTTTGGCTTTCGGGTATGGTTTAATGTAGCTGTTTTGCAAAGTGACTGTTTTGACTACTGAAAATGTGTACAACTGAACAATTCATGCATGTAGCCACATTGAGATCTCCATATATGGCTTTAATAATGCCGATTCTAAAATAAATCTAAAAAGATATTTGGTTACATATATGTAACACTTCTTAAATTACAGCAGGCATGCAAACTTTGGGGGAAAAACTAACTGTCTTTTTTTAACTGTCACATTAAATAATGCATTAACTAAATTTAGCAAACTTTCTTTAGTTTAAAAAGTAAAAGTGTACTCAATGTCCTCTTCCTTTGAAAAACACGATATGGTCACAAGGTCAAAAGGTTTTAAAGGCTTTGTTTGCATGGTTGCATATTTTGTTGTGGTCTGTTTGTCTCCGTGTGCTGTTATTTCTGTCATATTAAGCTCTGTGATGAAAGATAAGCCATCTGAATCGAGTGGGAGATAGTGTTGGAATTGAGCTGGACAGCTTGTTATTATGGATTGTGTTTCAAGCTATTGTTGAGTGATTTGAAGTGAATGGCTGAGGTGTTTGTCATCATCTGACCAGTGTTTCTGCAGCCATGAGTCTCATCCTTTTATTCATGCCATTAGTGTAAAAAACCCATTGTCCTGTATTACAGTAAAAAAGGTGTAATAGTGTTTGATTTAAATCAGTATAAAGCATTTTTTTAATATTTTAAGTAGTAAGAACTTGTTCTTGAAATGTCATTGAACTGTTTTATAAGACTCACCCAGAAGAGTGCCCAAATTATTCAGTTTCACCATCAGACGTGTTTGTTTTGTATAATGTCCTTTTTTGCTTATTATTTGATTTAAATGTTTTTTTGTTTTTGTTTTTCATTTGGACGGCTAGTTTGCCAAATACATGAATCGGTAGTCTTTATGTTGTATCAGTAGTCCTTATTTAATTTTGTGTGAGGCATGAGATATGATAATTTTGACAAAATTGTTTAATATGGTTGACCAGCATTAGCCTCACTCTTGTTACCTGTTAAAACAGCGTGATGTAAAGAATTAAACAAGTATAAATCAAAACATTTATTTTTTAAACAACACATTTATTGTAAAAACTACAACCTGAAATGCAACTGAAAACCAAAGTGAAAGTATGTGGAAGACGGAAAAAAATGGAAAACATCATAATATGGAAAACACACTCATAGTTTTAGTCTCTGTGGGTGAATGACACCAAGACAACAAATTACTGCAAGCAGGTGGTTCGCTTTATTTCCAACACGAACATAATCATTTACATAAATGAAAACAAACAAATAAACTTAAATTACAGCTTAAAAGAATTTAAAAAAAGAATGTTTTGAAATAATCCACAGAGAGAAAGAATATGAGTGGTGCTAAACAAACAAAACAAAAAACAAACTAAGCCCCACTCTCTAAATTAACCTAAAACACAAACAGAAAAAAAAAAATCTTCAGCACTTAACACGCCATAACTAAAGCTTCACTAACTAACCAAACAAAAGTTACACAGTTGCACACGCCCCTTGCCTAACAATGTCTAACAATGGTAACCCCACGTAAGATGTAGGTCACATGACATACTTTAATTTCTCTTCTCTCCGGGTTGGTGCAGGCAAGAAGTCCTCTTGTAAGCAAACATAATCAAATAAGTACGCAAGCAAACCACCACAAAGTCAGTATTTCTCAACAAGCATAAGCCAACAAACACTCCAAACTCCTCCTCTTCCGTTCTTCAGATTGCCTTAAATCCTGAACCATAACTGATGATTGGTGGTCTCCGACCAACAGCAGCACCTACAAACTAAAAGATAGCAGGAAAACAGAAAGAAACCAAAAAAGGGGGGGAGGGACAAAAATGTTAGCACACAACAAAGACATTTATTAGAAAAACTTGAAATAACTATGACTGCTTAAAGGGTTAGTTCACCCAAAAATGAAAATTAAGTCATTAATTACTCACCCCCATGCTGTACCAACCCCGTAAGACCTTCGTTCATCTTCGGAACACAAATAAAGATATTTTTGATTGAATCTGAGGTAGGGGTGGGCGATATGGAAAAAATATCATATCACGATTTTTTTAGGAAAATCACGATCACGATTTTTTATCACGATTCTTTTTCACGATTCTGTTTTTTTTTCTTTGTTATTAAAAAAATAAGACAAGATAAACATTACACAAATTAATATTCATATTACATAAATAGTGCTTTATTTTTTCAGATGCAGTAGGTGTATTTAGCAGTAGCATTGAAGTAATTAAATGAACAAATATGAAATTAAACACTACATAGACTTCACTGAATAAATTGATTCTTATTAAAGATATATTAAAGTTCTCAGTCAGTGAGTGATTTTCTCATTGTGTTTTTTTTTATTTTATTTTTTTTATTAACACTAAAGGGATAGTTCCTTCAAAAATGAAAATTGTCTTAATTTACTCTCTCAAGATGTTTTAAACCCAAATAAGTTTCTTTCTTCTGTTGAAAATAAAAGTTATTTTGAATAATGTGGGTAACCGAACAGTTGCTGGTCTCCTTATAGTTTTTTTATAGGTTCTCTCCTGGAAGTTAATGGGGACCAGCAACTGTTTGGTTACCCACATTAAAAAAAATTGTCTTTTGTGTTCAGCACAAGAAAGAAATTAATACAGGTTTGAACAACATTAGAGTGAGTAAATAATGACAGATTTTTTTTTTTTTTTTTTTTTTTTTTTTTTTTTTTGTGAACTATCCCTTTAAGTACAAGCGGCAGTAGGCTACTATTTATTCCTGTTGCTTTTAGACCAGCACGCGACGCGTTTAATATAGACGCATATTACACCAGATATTCTCACAAATGTTTGCTTTCACTTTAGACAGAACCTGTTTATGTAAACATTGTGTGTATTTAACAGTATTAGCTTAATAAGACTCGAGAGATAACTTAGTCCAGTATTCAGGCGCTGTTTGACAGGCTTCTAGTGCCTGTGAGCGTCGGGGGTAATTTATGCGGTCAGGAAAGCGCACGTTAGAACAGCGCATCAGCGCGTGGATTAAATGTTTAACCGACAAGGCTTATGCAAATAATGAACTTTTGTGAATTGCAGTGTCCCGTACCTATTCCTTAACGTGTGATCATGTGTAGGCTACGTCGCGTTGTGCAGTTGAGAGACGGAGGCGGCAGAACTGAACTGATAGAATGCACTGTAACACGATACTACGATATTTCTTCAAAAGCAGATCGTGGAGACATTTTAATCGTCCACGATTAAAAATCGTCATATCGCACACCCCTAATCTGAGGGCTGGATCACTTTTCCATAGACAGCCTGAGGGACTGCCTCTTGACGGCCCAGAAAGTCATTAAAAGAAAAGGTTTAAATATTCCATGTGCCTACAGTGGCTCAACTATAACTTTATCAAGCGACGAGACTACTTTTTGTGCGAAAAAAAACGTAAATAACGACTTTATTCGACTTTCCATTACTTCCTTATGGGCGCATGCGCGAGAACTGAGACGAGACCATTCTTCTTCGACTACTTTTTGTTACCGGCTGCTCACCGCTTAG